AATTAAAATCGATTTTTCTCATCAAATTTTAATCGATTATAATCGAAATTAATCAGAATTAATCAAAATTATGTATGAAATTTTGATTTTTTTGATTATTTTTGATTAAAAATGGATTAAAAAGTGTATGATTTTAATCGATTTGTAATCATTTTTTAATCGATTTTAATCTGATTTTACCCCTAATTTTTTTTACATGGGTAGGATACCCTGACTTCTTTTTTGCTTATATATAAGCAAAAACAAAAGTAGGGGTATTCTATGGTGGAGCACGCCCATATTTCTCTCTTAACATAGTTGTAATCTTTCTTTTATCTATGATATGAATTAAAGAAAAGAGAAAGCTATATCACAGATACTTAATGATTACAAATAAAATAGATATAAGAAAAAAAAAAGAAGATTTATTTTATTTAGTCCAAAGCAAATCCAGAACAATGTGATTCTGTTCCTCCACCTGCCAACCAACATTCACAACAAATATATAATGGTAAAGGATCTCTTCCTGATGTTGATGATTCTCCTGTTGGAGTTGGTTGAAGCTTTTTACAAAATATACATTGAAAATTTTGTGAATAATCATTTGTACCATGTTTTTGACAAAGACGTGCTTCACGTTTCTCGAGAGGTATTTCAGTCGAAGTCGCTGGAGGAATATGTTTTGAACAAATAATACATGGACTTTTTTGCATCATAAATAGAGCTAATTTCAATTTTTTAGCACATACATTACATGCATAAGCACGTTGATTATCTATAGTATCAACAGAACCAAGTGTGTTTGTACAACGACGGCGCTTTAAAAAAATCAAACAAAAATCAAAAGAAAAATTTCTTAATAAAATAAATATTCTTACACGTAAATAATTTTCTCTATCATGTCGAGCAACAATACGTCCTTCTAGTGAACCTAAATATGTAACAAGCTCTTGGTACAGATGTCCTTGCTCATAATGATACAGCACACGAGATGTTGCAATATCTTTCATTGACGAATATTTACGATAAAATTCAGCCATAAATGCATGTAGAGTACGTATTTCATTTGCATCATCTTTCAAGCAACGTTGTCGTAATAATTTTTCAATTGATGAATCACGAAAAATAATATATTGACTTCCTATGATCCAAGTTGTATCAAGAAATATTTTTACATGTCTTCGTAATATTGCCCATATCATTTGATTTACATCTATTCGATTATTTTCATCTATATTTCTATTCAAATAATGTTGAAGTATATTAACCATATCTGATTCTATTAAACCAATATCGGATATAAGTAATAATTTAAAGAACTAAAATTTTTTTCTTTTCATTTTATGTAAAATAAAAGTTTCAATGAAAATTACCGCATCAGTAAGTGGTCGATTGTCAATAATTTCATAAGCTTCATTCAGTAGAAAATTAAGTAAATCATCTAAGGTTGATGGATAAGTTTTGAGACGTTTGGTAACAAGAGAATAATCACCAAATTGCCGAAGATTTTCACAAACATAAGATAAATAAATAGGATGTTCACCACCCTTGTTGTCTATAAGTAGTGATTTTTGTTCTGATTCAAGAATCTATATAAGTAAAAACAAAAACATAACCATTACAGATATATTCAAAATTCTACATTTCAATACTTGTGCTAAATAATCTGTCTATTTTCTTGTTTTGTTTTTAAACTTACTTTATTAAAACTATGAAAAAACATATCAATATATGAACTACGTTGTTCACTTGTTAATAATTTAGGTTCTAGTACATAATGCGAATAATTGCGTATTGTTTGATATAAATTTGAGTTTAATTCTGTACTAATTATAATATATGTATGATTACTAAGTAATGAGGAAAGCCAAAGGAACGGAAATTCATTCTTATAATTTCGCTTATGATGCAGATCACCCTACAAGAATTTTGATTTGTTTTTTAAAATATTTTATTCACCTTGAATTACTTTTTCCAATCCATCGACAATAATAATAATTGGTATTGGTATAGCAGCAACAGCATCTTCAAGAAATGTATCATCACCAAAGTGAAATCTCTCATTCGTTTTTGGAGATTTTATATTATTATCATCTAAATAGTGAAAAGAACGTTTTTTTTCATTAAAGTTAATTTTCAATTTTTATTTACCAAGATATTTTAAGAGTTTTAGTTGTAAATTAGTTAATATGAAATGACTTCCATCTTGATATGTTCCCTCAGCAAAATAACAATAGATAATAGCTTTGTCTTTCATTTTTTCCTATAGTAATATCAATTTCAAAATAAATTTCAACAAATATTTTTTTTAAGAATTTACTTCGATATCTAAGACAAATTTTGCAAGTAACATTGTTTTTCCACCGCCTGGTTGACTTGATAAAGCCATTAAAGGTTGACTATTTCGTTTATCTGGTTCAGTTTCTAATTTATCTTTGATTAACATGAAATCCTTATGATCGCCTGTTATATACTTAAAAAGCGTTGAATATTCATCGGATCGATCAATATAATATTGTGTTTTGTTGAGAAGAAATGTATTCATTTCTTTTTCTTCTAGAAATAAAAACGAATTCCTTTTAACATTAATTAGATAGAAATCGAACCAATATTAATTGAATTATCTTCATTAAAATTTTCTGGATACCATTTACGAATAGCTTCACTTAAAAAACTTTTTGTTCGTTCTTCGAATTCTTGTAAACCATCAATTTTAACCTAAATAGAAATTTAGCTAAAATACAAATTAATCCAAACTTAATGTGTTTTACTCTTTCACGTCCAGTTGATGAATCTAAGCCATTATAAGAACAATCATAAGAAAATATTTGTTCAGGAGATATAATTTCTGATAATTGACTTTTTAATTCTTTTACTTGTTTTTGACTTAATTCATCTTTATCACGAAATTTATCATTATATTTTTCAGGAAGATTTTTCAAAAGATTTTCGGATTTTCGAATTAGAAAAAATGCATTTGGATTATTTCTACGAAATGCACCATGAATAAATTCCATTAATGTTATTGATGCTCCATCAATCCAACAATATGTTTCAGTTATATGTTTTGGTAAATCATTCAATTTCGGAACCCAACCATATCTAAATCAAATGAAAAACAAAAGCAAACAAATGAGATTTATCTTACTTGTCACTAATAAGTCCAATAAAAAATGGTTGACCATTATCTTCTAAACATCGATCGAGTTCTTCAAGACATGCTAATATTGTTTGTTCAGTTGTTGAATCTTTCGGAACCTATAATATGAAATATTGTTAAAAATGATGTTTGAAATTATTTTATCATATTTACACCCCATCGAAGATCACAGTCAATTATTTGAATACCGGATGGTCCCATTTCATCACGTAATGCAGTAAATACTTTTTTAATAAGAACTTCACGTTCATTAAAAAAATCTGTAAACGTTGATGAAACAAAAATTCGTACAACTTTATTTGATGTTCTTTGATTTCCATGTTTATCATATGATTTTAATCTTTCTCTGTTGATATGTTCACGAAGTTTAGTCCAAAAATCTTTTACATCTATAGATATTTTTTCACATTCAACATCAACATTATTAGTATTTGATGATGAATTTTCTTGTTCTACTGAGCGATTTGTTGGTGCAATTGGTGGTAATATTGGATAACCCGGATGAACTTGAACGGGAAATTCTAATGGAAATTGTTGTTGTGAGTTCGATGCGTCTGACATAACCAGGAAAGAAAAAAAATCTAAATGATCGTAAAAAGAAAAGAAAAAAATACATCATTCATATATTTTTGTTGCAAACAGCCGAGACGAAGAAAAAACACCTTGGTAACGTGACAACTATTTAACATTCTGTTTCTGTTTTTAAATGTATGGTATTAATAAAAAGAAATATACTGCTTGTTCAACGTTTATTCTCTTTTCTGAAAGAAAGGGTTATACAGCAGCTATAACAATGAAATATTAGTTCTTTTTAGATTGTTTTCAAGACAGAATATTTCAATTTCAATAGTATAATAATAAATATTTAATAAAAGTAGAGTATGTTCTTCTGTGACCTTAAACGTCGATTGAAAACAGTAATAAATATACGAACAATTACTTTTGTTTTATTCCTATCAAGAGACACATCAAAGAAACATGATAATTCAATTGTGTCGCAGCTATATATAACAGAGAAGTTGAGTAAATATAATTTCACAACAAACACGATATACAAAAAGATTAATTTCTACGCTACTGAATCGTGTATACAGAATCTACATATATGCAGAAATTTTTACAGCCGTCAAGTTTCAAATAAGTTCTAATTCTTTCTGCCTGATGTGTTTAGGTGACAAAATTTTACGACATTTAAAAATTGTCGTAAAAACAGACAACATCGTTGAAAAAAGACGATAATAAATATTATGTATGTATAAACAAAAATCGTTAATATTTCCAATAATATAAAGTCATAATGAACCATATTCACATTTCACTTGTAAGTCACCCGACAGCAAAAATGGTATACCTAAGAGAGAAAATATACGGAGTCGACTCTATGATCATAGACTAACAATGATCATTGTATCACATATGAGGTTCACTATATTTCTCTTCTTAATGAACACTTAGGGAATTATATATAACTCATATATTTACCCTACATCAACCCGAATCAATGCATTGTAATCACATGACTTTCCACCTTTACTTTTTTTCTTTGGCCACAGATAATAAATACTCAGTATAAATCAAAGAACCATTAGCTTAATTATTTCGTTTCTTCCTTACTTAATATAAACATTTTTTCGCTCGAGCAGAAAAAAAAAGAATATCATATATCGTATCTCTAGATTTTTTTAATTATCAAGGTTCATCACGAATTAACGAGAACGATAAAAAAAGTATCAAAATATAGAAAATGTAGCTATATTGAGATTGAAAGTGAAGGCGAGGTAGATGATGAAGCTAACTAATCAAACTGTTCCATAATTCCCTCGACTGAAAGGAAGGTGATACGAAAAAAAGTGAAATGAGTTTGTGTGTGTGTGTGCCTGTCTCTCTGCCGCAAGGTCAAAAGAACACGGGCTTAGAAAATGTCAAAAAACATGAGATTAGAAAAGGCTGAAGCTTGATCAAAGGTTTTCGGGGTCGAGGAATCGATTGGTGTCATTAGCTTTTCAAAATTTTTTGAAATTAATTTTTTTTTGAAAGTTCAAAAAAGTCAAAAAAGGTCAAAAAAACATGAAAAGTTCAAATAGGCCGAAATAACATAAAACAGTTCCCTCGACTGAAGGAATGGTCATATAAAATAAAATGAGTTTTGGGTGTTTGTCCAGTTGTGGCAGGAGAAAAGTCAAAGACCAGAGATCAAATGATAAAACTTGACTAAAGGTTTTCGAGAATGAAGAATCTGAGTCTACTATTTAGTTCATGAAAATTTTCAAGTGTGGTTTTTTCTTGAGGGTGTGAGGGTGAGAAAGAGTTACCACGACCGGTTTCGACAGTTACTCAAGCTGTCAAATTTCTATTGTCTTCATGGTGATGGTTGATATTGCTCTTGTTGTTATCAATAACGCTTCTTCAATATCGAAATAGAGGCTTTGTTTATCTAGTTTATGGTCGATGGATATGATATTTTCTGCAGTAAATTGAATGATTTTGTCAGTCATATGTAATGAATGATATACAATAATGGTAAACATTTCAAGTTATCTAGAATTTATGGTTGAGCTTACGTGGAAATTATTGAAGTAAATCATAACAGATTAGAAGAAAAAAAAGCAGAAAGTGTATGTTTATTTGGAGAGATTTTGTTTTGAGTTGAAATATACAGAAATCTTTATAGTTGAGGGTGCGGGTGAGTATAAATTGTGTCTTATCGTCCGAGAAAGCATCTGATGAATTTCTAAAAGAAATTTCTATTTTCATTTTAGGGTGTGGGTGGGTGAACAGAGGAACAACACCACACCCACACCCCACACCCCACATCCACACCCCCCCCCCACCCCCCCACACCGCACACCCACACCCACACACACCCAGAGACTGTATTTAATAATTGGACGAGAATCTTTACGTTAAAGAACAGAACGCAAAGAAACTATGACTGATTATATGCCATGACAACAACGAGAAGAAAATGTTGCATGGACAAGAAAATGGATTATAAATTAAGTAGATAAATGATTGACGGAAAAAATGTGAGAGATAGGAAGAAAACACTTGATGATGTTGGAACATCTATTTGAATAAGTTAGATTTATTCACTAATTTAATTCTTTCGATCATCTTTTAAAATTGAATGAAACCTCGATTGATCATGCTTTTCATGCTCCATCCATTGCGTGAACCATCATCATTATAGAATTTCCATGTCCAAAAGGTCCAACCACCATGAGCCCCTTTGAACGCTTCGAGTTGGACTTGAGCATAGCGACGCAGATCATCATCATTGTCAAAATTGGCTGATGATGCAATGCACCACTCTCTAATGAATAGTCAATTGCCTGTCCATGCAAGTATATCACTTTTTAGTTCATTTTGTGCATAAGCAATCAGTCGCTTCTTGTCCCAACCCTACAGACAAAAGAGTATAAGAAAAACAGTCATATAAAAATTTACTTACATCAAAACCCCAAATTTGATAACGATGCCATTCATGACGAACATTGTTGAAATTTGGCCATCGCATGAAATTATTCCAATCACTTGCATGTGGACCTTGCTGATAGAGTAACGGAGCGACAACTAGAAGACAGCTGGAAAAAAAGACGAATACGTCCATAGGCATCATAATAATATTGTTTCAATATTCTCTCGTCGGTTGTGCCTATGAATAGGATACTGTTGAAATGAAAAATTTAAAATGAGAAGAATGTACCCGATGGTTCATTCAGTAGACTGATGCCAAGAAATGCTGCATCGTTATTATATCTTCGTGCTAACCACTCAACAGCGTCCAGCGTGTTTCGAACATTTTCCGGATAACTTCCCCAGTGTGATTTGCCTGGATCAGATGGTGAACTATGATCCATTCCGTTCTGACTGCCTTTGGCAGCGTGAAATGAAATTAAGACAACCAGATTGTTTTTTGGCGCCCATTCTCGAATAGCTTTATCGAGATAACCAACTGCATTAGGAGCAAACACTTGCCATCCGTTCGGATCACCACCACCGCTATTGTCAAATCCAGTAATCCAGTATCCAACAGGAATTCGAACAGTATTCATTTTGGCATTAGCGATATCACGAAAGTCTTGTTCAGTGATGAACAAATTACGATGTTGTTTGAATTGAGCATCACCTTTGGCATGACCTTAATGAGAGAGAAACGACGGTTTACGAAACGATTAAGAAACGATGATTACCAAGATATTGCATCGTTTGATATTCACCCTTATTGGCAATGTCATCCGGCACATCGTTCCAAGCTGGTGATCCTTTTGTCATCCAATTTTCGGCAACGAGCCATCCTTCAAGATTGACACCTTGTATGGGTGTGCGGCCGCTCTTGATATCTTCTCTGAGTGTATCAAGCAAACTTCAATTCAACAATTAGAAATATCTGTGACTGCGTCTATACATGTTTTTTCTACCTACTCTTAGATGTTATTAATCCACTACTGACGCCAAACAGAACTATGCCCAACCAAATATTGATAAATTGCATGTTATGCGACACGTTTTGGATGAAAGTCACAAGTAACGTTCATCGTCAAGCGATTCACTTAGCCCTAGACTGATAGAATACATGTACGGATGTAATAACATAAAAATCTACATTAAAAAAGTAATACGCAAAATTGATAATATTACCAGTATATCTTAGGCGACCAGAAAACTTAATTTGGAGAATTCTCACTCTAAGTAAAGATGATGCATTTACAAATTTAATTTTTTTTATCGTTTTTGTTTTGTTTTTTTTGCTTTTATAAATATAAATAGCGCCCAATAACATTAGACAACAATACGATCTTTTTATAATTATATTGGCGCTATTTGTACGTACAAAAATATGAATTATGTTATTCATAAAATTTGAGTTTTATTAATCAATATTTTATGCTTAAATTCGCGCATTAATTCTAAACTATTAATAAATTAGATATTCATTGATACAACATTGCACAATCAATCCTACAATAATGAATAATTTAAACGTTTTCTTTAAATCCATACTGCTCATTTGGTCTGACTCTCACTAATTAAATGCTTTTGTAAGCCGTTTTACACCACTACCCGAATTATAGTTATTCCATTGACATTTTACCCATGATTATTATGGGTTCATTTACATCAGTTTTTAGATGGTCATTTGTACCATAGTTACCGGAATAGTTGTTTGTACCATGGCAGCTATATGGTCACCTGTGCCATAGTTACGTGGTCGTTTGTACCAAAAAAATGACCGCTTGTGCCATAGTTACCTAGTTCATTTTAGTAAAAAAAATGATCGTTTGTGCCATAAAAATGGTCACTTGTGCCAAAAAAATGGTCGTTTGCGCCAAAAAAACGGTCATTTGTGCCAAAAAACAATGGTCGTTTGCGCCAAAAAAACGGTCGTTTGTGACAAAAAAATGGTCACATGTGCCAAAAAAATGACCATTTTGACCGCGTTACCGACAGACAGACAGACAGACAGACACAGGTGAATTTCGGTTTCTAGACCCTAGCCTTTCAGTCTAGGGAAAATATTGAATTAGAGGATTAATAGCGGTGAGCAGCTATAAGTTCGTCCTTTAAAAGTCAAGGATCTTATATCATGTATATTTTTCATTCGTTAGGCATGAAACTGTCCAAATATGAATATAAGATGAAATGCCTTCTTACATATCAAGGCGAAACATGTCGTGAGAAAATAAAAGTTGTATATTTTCTGTGTGATAAATCAACTAACGATTAAGTCAAAATACCCTCCAATAGCACTTAGTCCTTGTACAGACATTCCAGCTCAATCGAATGTAGTATTGTAGACGAATAGAGATGATAAGTGGAACCATTGGGAAAGCGATCGAGTTTCTGATGTTCTTGAAATTTCCAAATTTCTAGCTGAGCGATTCCTACAAAGTTCCAGGAAATCAGTGTGCAGTTAGAACTGCTACCTCCATATATGAATTCTGAACATGAATGAAACTCGAAGCCGTTTCTAGAGATCTCAAGTTGGTACTCGCTCTACTTTATTGGCCACAGTTCGTCATTTAATATTAAGAAACGGTGGTAAAACTCAGACTATATATCGTTGTCAACCTAGATTAAATTAAACATTTGAACATTAAGAGGCAATAGCTACCAAAAAGACTAATAAGTCCTTTCATTTAATCTGAATTTCTCAGCAGAGAAATAAGATTTCTAAAAGTGTTTCCGAATGTACTGCCCTTTTAGAAGACTTTTTGAGGAAAATTCTATACAAGATCATGCACCCAGTTTTTCTTTAGATAGACTTGTATAAAAATAATCAATCTATCTTCTTTATTATATATAGTTATATTCAAATGAGTAAAGGCGAAAGCCAACAATTCAGTACTTACTCAGTGATCAATCGTAGCTCACACAGACTGATTCGGATGGTGTTTATTTCAATAATACACTATACTTTACTATTATATATTGAGAAACACTGTATATTTCTTATATTGAAGAAAGAATAAAAATACTAATGAAATTGAATATTTATTTACCGTAAATAGAAATTCTGTCTTCCCTGACAGAAAAATGGAAGCTCACTGAAATTATCATACGCAAACTAATTGCATCTGCATGACTAGATGAAAACGATGTAAAATCAAACACTAGATTGCTTGAATTCAAATTCAAATATCAAGCATCATGGCACCTAGAAACTACTTCAGGCATATATTCTAATTAGATTGTTTTCGCTTGGCATGAGATTTTTTTCCACAACAAAATAGAATCAGGCATATAAAACCAGCTTAGCTCTGGGTAGAAGTACATGTGGGTTGTCTCTTCACCCACACCCTTAGTGGTTTCGCTGGTCTCTGCTCTTAGTATACCAATGCGACATAGATAACTTGCTTCATCAACTGATTTTTTTCATTTTTTCAACAATTTTTTGGGCTTGCACAGCGAACATAAAAGACAAATATTGCGACTACGAGATATGAAGAGTATGAGTTAGCATTGTAGCGAGCTAAAATAGTTAGAAAGATTCGAGAATACTTGAAAAAATTCCAACATCTTATAAAAAGAATGATAAGTGGGTAAAAATGTTTTGTATGACTAATATTTTTTTTTCCTAGTATTACATGTAATTGCGAAACAAACCTATGACAAAGAAAGAGGAAGAAAAAGAAAAAAATACACATATATTTTTCGAAGAAGAAATTTCGTAATAACTGATATATTATTTCTCATTGCTCACTTAATTTCACTATACACAGTGCAGACCTTCATTTATACACATAATCGTCTTTTCAAAGTAACATTTGGCTTATTCGGCAAGCGAAAATCTATAGAACAAGATCGGTCAACTTGTCCATCTTCAAATACTCTCAGCTATCCATCACAATCGTCATGTTATTCTTTGAACTCAGATCAAATATTTCAAAATCAAAAAATGATAAATACCGAGAAAAACTCAATAGAAGCCGATCCTGTAAGTAGACTAAGCAAGATATAAATTGCTGACTCACAGAGTATATATATAAGATAGAAAATTGATAGAACTTTTCTTGTCATCATTGAGAGTAGCTACATTAATCTAAACAAGTATTGAATATTCATCGATATTCTCTTGCGTATTTCAGATACTCAACTCCGAAATTTCATTGGCGAGTGGTTTATCTACAAGTTTTCTTTCATTGAACACATCGAAATCGACAGAAATCGAATCATCGATTGAGATACCTGTTAATCATTTACAACAGACCAAGAATCTTATTGAAGACGACGATTTTTTTACTTCATTCGATGACGTTTTTTTGAAAGAATATGTGCCAGATGATTTATTCATTGATCCAAATAGACTAGATCCAATCCAAAATCTACTCAGTTCTGACTTAGATTTGTTCGAAAATCAGTTTGATTCCATAACAATGCAAACCAGTGAAAATCTTAGCGTGAACATCAATTCATCTTTGTCTCTTCCCATTGTACCCACACTTGATGAGACAACAATATTATCGACAGATTCAACATCAAACGACACCAAGCAAGATCAAGTTAATCAAAGAGATTTCAAAAAATGTGCTGGTTCAGTAGCTGAATGGACACGATTCGGAAACTTGAAAGTGCTTAAATATTCCGAAGACTACTATGATCGAAGATTGAAGAATACTAAAGCAGTGAAGAAAAATCGGCAGAAAGCTAAAGAGAAAAAGAAAGAAACAGAATTGAAAATGATAATGTTAGTCAATGAAAATCAACAATTGGTCAATCGAGTCGATCAACTCACAAAGGATTTGGAATCACTCAAATCATTCTGTAAGACACGTACTCAAGGATTACCAATCGATGGAAACAAATCATTCGAGTCCGACAATGTGCTTTGAACGACAATCATGAACATGATAAAAAGAAATTTCTTTTTCTCAAGGCTTTCTGTTTTTTGATGATTTGTTAAAAATAAAACAATTGTCGCCCTGAAGGGCGCTTTGACATAAAGTAAAGAACATATTCTTCAGTGTACCACCAGAGTAATAAAATCGTGGATGAGGCTGTGGTTTTCAGTGTGATCTATGAATGTCAGTGTCAGTGTGACTTTGATTACGCCTGTGAACATTAATCTGGACAATATCAGCTCACACCGAAAATGATGCATATGTACACTTATCTTTCACTTACACTTATATTTGACCAAATGTGTCTTATTTTCATCTTGTCTGTTCGTCAATCGTACGTTTTTACTTGATTTTAACTAGTTCTATGATCTTGATCACGTTTTTCATTTACATTTATTGATACAAGTATGCAAATCGAACGTTTTTTAACAACATCTAACGAAAAATAAGTTCAATTATGTTTTATTAAATTTGTAGCATCATCTATGTTCCTTTCTATTACTGATCCAAATTATTATAAAAGTTTTCGTCTGTATTTTATTGAAAATCGATAACAAAAGACAGACTTGAAAAAGCATTGGAAAACCAAAAAAAAATTATTCATTTTCGATATCCAGCTGAATGGAATGCAATTGAAGTAGTGACAATAAAACAAGCATCCTACAATGTCTACAAAAATTATGTTGCAGATTAATCAGAATGAAAAGAAATAAAATTCGAATTAGTACCAAATCGATCAACTCCTTTGTCATCAGATGTTAATCTTGTTCATAAACGACCATCTTTGCGTTTCTTTATTTTGTCACAAACTGATGTTGATGAAGATATTAGGGAGTTATTATTTTCCGTCTTCCATCTAACATCGATCAACAGTCATTCTCAGACGACAATGACAGTAACGATGATTATGATTAATCAGTATGATGATGTTGG